CGTGTGTGTGTGTGTGTCTGCGTGTGTGTGTGTGTGTCTGCGTGTGTGTGTCTGCGTGTGTGTGTGTCTGCGTGTGTGTGTGTGTCTGCGTGTGTGTGTGTCTGCGTGTGTGTCTGCGTGTGTGTGTGTCTGTCTGTCTGTCTGTCTGTCTGTCTGTCTGTCTGCCTGCCTGCCTGCGTCTGTGTCTCTGACAGTCTGTGTCTGTCTGCGTCTGTGTCTCTGACAGTCTGTGTCTGTCTGCGTCTGTCTCTCTGACGGTCTGTGTCTGTCTGCGTCTGTGTCTCTGACGGTCTGTGTCTGTCTCTCTGACGGTCTGTGTCTGTCTGCGTCTGTGTCTCTGACGGTCTGTGTCTGTGTCTCTGACGGTCTGTATCTGTGTTCAGTCTGTGGTCAACGCAAGCGCCTAAACCGATCAGCTGATTTTCTTCAAAATTGGTATTCCTCAATCGATCTGATTGAACTCATGGTTTGGGGTTTCAAATGGATATATTTATTTTTGTGGGTACTTCACATGAGGCCTCAAAATCATCTCAAAAACTGCTCAAAAGTTTTTCTTTACAATTTCTCCACATATGTAATATGGGACGGAAAAAATATGGTGCTAGCCTCATTTTCAGCTATAGCTCCATTTTTCGAAAATGCCAAAATAACGTGCGCATTTCAAAAATAGAAAATTGGAGATAGTAATTTTTGTTTTGAACCAAGTATGTTGTAAAAAAATCAGTTCTTTCAAAAATATCATTTACTATTTTTGGAAAAAAATAGATGATTTTGCTTAATTAGTGTCTGAAAGTTGGGCTATTTCTAAAAATATTTTCTGAAAACTCACTCAAAATATTTTCAATAAAGTTTCTCTTCATATTTAACAACGTATGATAAATAAATACTATTCTATGTTATTGCAGCATTCATGAAAACTGGTTTTGCTAAAATATTTGATTTTTTGTTGTGTTATTCACGAGTATTTTAATACTGTTTTTTGACCAGTGTGTGAAGTACTTTTTTGGCATAATAGTTCCCACAGCAGGCAATTAATATAATTAACTGATAACACAAATTTTTATAACACAAACTTATTGGCATTCATCTCAACAAGAGTTTAATGTACACAGATTTCTCAACTTAGCGATGAAGGTATATGACAAAATTTGTACAATGGTCTCCTTAGTCTCATGTTGAGTATAGTTTTACATTGAGCATTTACATTGAGGTGAGGAGAAAGAAAATTCTGCTTTACTTAGGCTGATCCAGATAATGCATTTTAGAAAATAAATTTCTTCTTGATATGTCTGCTCAGGCTGAAAGAGAATACAATATTTTATTTACACCAAGATAGATTCATACCGATTTAGATTCATTAGCACTTACATAATATGTATTTAAACTTAAAACAATACAACTTCATTTTGACTATTATGAAAATGCACCTTTGGAATCTGATCCATCCAATTGATGAGCCTAACAATTATTTTGAATAAATTAAGTAAAATTACAAAACAATATTGGAATCCTGAAAAA